AGAGCTCGGCTCTGCTTTTTTTCCCCCAGGGATCACATCACCTGCAAGACAAGCAAGATGGGGCTTTCAACGCAGGCAACTGGACTGGCTAACACGGCATTTCAGGTCAAGGCTGTACGATGTTTGCTTTGTGAGCATCCCCTTCCATGTCAGCAGTGGAGGGAAAGGGCACCTGTTTTGTTTTCCATCAGATGCTTTTCTCGGCCAGCAATGCTGAATTATTTACACAGTGGTTTGCTGATGGCTGCCTCCAGGAACAATGGCGAACTGTTTGTGCTAAGAATGAATTCTCCAAGGACCTGGTGGGATTTCAGGATATGATTAGAGCTAGGAGGGGACGACAGAGGACAAGATGTCTGGACTGTGTCACGGAAGCGACCAACAATGACTTTGACCCAACTCCAGGAGGCAGTGGAAGACAGGAGGGCCTGGCGTGCTCTGGTCCAGGGGGTCACGAAGAGTCGGACATGACGTAACAACTAAACATGGCAAGCTCTTTGTTCTTTCCCTGGGGTGGAGCGGGGACAAGGTGAGACCAAACTCAGCCAGTTATCCGGGCCATTTTAAGGGGGCTGAGTGCAGAGGCTGCCACACTTAAGGGATTAAAAATGTGTGGGTTTTTTTGAAGCAGTCAAGAACACACTGGAAAAACTTAAGGACGGGATGGTCATGGGAAGGAGAGTAAGGAAAACATGTGACCGAGTGAGCTGTCCAAGCACTTCTCTTCAGCTGACTCTACTGGTCTTCCTGAGAGCACTGCTGATTTTTTTTAACTCCCATCCGTTTTTCAATGTTCTCTAACCCCTCCCTACCCTGAACACTTAGGGGAGAAAATTAAATATACTGCAAATTAATGCTACAAATGTTTGCAGGAGTGTGCAATAGGACTGCATTCGGAGTTTAGAAAGAACAGGTGATTCTTTGCCACCAAAATTTTTATGCTCACCATGCTGGCTGGAGTCCAAAAAAGGAACTTGAGCACCAGGATTGCTTTGATTCTGATGCCATTTCTAATATTTGCATCTTAGAAATATGTAAACAACTCCACAAGACCAAACTAAGCAGTATTTACTTTCCCACTTAGGATTGATAAAACAAAAGCAGAAAGATTGAAAAGTGCCTGAAAAAATGCCCTTGAAAACAAATTTTGAAAGTAACTATAGTTACTTTTAATAAATCAAGTGTTATTCATTAAAACTAAAGAGGAACTTTGCAATTACAATGTATATGATTCATTAGCCAGCAGTGACTAAATTGTAGCCAGCTATTATATGACTTGTTAGCAACTCACTTCCCTGCTGCAACCAAGATTAAAGAAGGCGTCTAGTAACCAAGGGCCCCTATTGCCACCTGGCGGCTGTTTCATTTCCAGCACAGATGCATGGCATGCAGCGTAACTATAAAGGGAGGAGACAACTCTGGTCCGGAGGTTGCAGCTTTGCAATAAAAAAGAAAAAAAAAAGAAAAAAGTTCAGAGGATTCACATAGGAAAAAAACTTTAGTGTTTTTAAAGTAGGAACCGTTAAAGTTCAGAGGATTCACATAGGAAAAAAAAACTTTGGTGTTTTTAAAGTAGGAACCGTTGAAGACCACAGAAAAGACAAAAGAGGAAGACCAAATATGAGATGAGTTCAGCCCATAATGGAAGCCGCCGTCTTGAGTCTACAAGAGAGGAGTAGGGTGGTGAGAACTGGCCACTTTGGAGGTCGTTCTTTCATAAGGGCACTATAAATTAGAGGCGAGGGGATGCACCAGGTTGCAATACCCACCCCTAGATCTGCTAAGGATTCCTTTTCTTTTTATTCTCACCTTTCCAAGCAATGTATAATGGTGACTATTAGTATCAAGTCCTGCCAGAAAATGCAGTGCTTCTTTTTTGGTTGCAAATCTACCTCCTGTGCTACCTTTTGTGCAACATTTCTGCACAGTACGGAAGAGTCTCAATGGAAGGGAGCCTGAAAATCATTTGTCTGAACCCAGCTGGGTCAGATAAGAGCCACTGGGAGAGAAATATTAGGTTTTCCAGCTGGAACTTAAATCCTCTTTCCTGGAAGCTAGCACCAGCCGGTGGCACTAGGGAGGAAGCCTGACTCAACGGCCAGCACCTACCGCCCTCTGGTGCTGGCTTCACTTCCAGCACAGACATGCTGTGTTCAACAGAATTATAAAGGCAGGAGACCTCACTAGTTGGGACCTTGCAACTTTGCAAAAAGAAAAATTCTGAGGATGCGTACAGAAAAAGAACCTGGGCATTTTAAAACTGCTGTCCAGAACACCTACAGATTGACCACTTGAGCAGAACTTGGAAAAAAAAGTACCGCTTTGGACTGGAACCCTCATATGCCTACCAGCTGGGTTATTCTGGAAGCCGTGGTCCGAAGACATGGCCCTTCCAAGCCCTGCTCTTGAGTATGATCAAACTATGTACTTGTAGACAAAGGCCAATCATGCATACAGCCCTGCCCCCAACTCATCGCCCATCGAAACTTGTTTCCTTCTCGTTAGCAGAACAGTGGCTTGTAAACTTCAGCCCTGGTACCTATTCTTGCTGCCAAGAATCAAGTCAGTATCTCAGCTTCTAAAAGGTTTTATTCAGTCGGCTATAACTCATTCAAAATAAAATCTTCAACACAAATCTGTAGAGGGGCTTTCTCCCCAGGAGGAGCAGGGCAGGAGAGGGATCCAGATTTCACATCATCAGCAATAAGGCACTAGGAAAGCCACGCTCCGCTCCCCCCTTCCAGTCAACACTCTGCTGCTTTCTCACGGGTGGGCCTCCCACCAGCCAGTGCATCAACACGTTTCGCCTGGAGGAGACCTCCCCCCCCCCCCGATATCTGAAAGACTGCCTTCTGGAAGATGGAACAGGAGCAGGTGTCTTTTCCGCTGCTTCCGAGGATAGGGCCCCAAATTCATGTCTTCATGTCACAAAAGAAGAGACGCCCATTCAGCAGTAGGAAGACTGTCCTGATGGTTCTGGTGGAAAAGTGGTGGGCTCTTCCCTGTTGGCCGTGTTTAAACAGAGCTTGATGGTCGTTTACTAGGCAGGATTCTGCTGTGTGTTTCTTGGCACCTCAGGCAGTCAGTCTAGATGACCACTAGGATCACCTTGCAAATCTACAATCCTATAATTTTTTTTTGCTTGTTCACACCTCTACTTGTGCTTGAAGACAAAGGCTTCTCCTTTGATGGAGTCTGGGAGATCTTTTATACCTTACGGCTTCCCAACAACATCCTAACAAGCTTGGGGGCAAAACTAAGTCAAACCTCAATGCATCGTAGAGCAAACGCCATAGATCGAAACAGGGAGCCCTCCTGCAAACTGGGTGAGCAAGACATCCACAGTGGGGAGGAATACCCGAGGGTGTGGACAGAAGTTGTCCCTTTGGTGTTAGTCGGTCACTTGGCGTCTAGGTGTTCCCACAGCCACCTCCCAGGTAGTAGCTAAAAAACAACACATGGCTTCAAACGCCGGCTCCGTTCCAGAGGGGTCCAGCTCCCTCCAAGGGTAGCGTCAGGGCAGAGTGACCATCCGGCCTGTGTTTTGCAATGATGTGAAACGGCCTTTGTTCCTCAGCCCGGAGAACCTTTCATTCAAGGTCAGGCTAGTCTAAGGAGTAAACAAAATGAAACCCATTAACGCATGGAAGGTGGCGTGTCTAAGGCCTCTTCCCTGAGAGTAAGCGAGCCCCGTTGAACCCAACAGGATGGGCTTCCTGAACCCTCGTTGTTCTGGGTTCTCAGCACTGACCTGGTTAGCCATGGCGCGGAAGTTAAATCTCAGGGGCACCCCTTTCGGCTGGCGTCCGGTTGTCTTGGTCGAGGTGCCTCTCCCTCTCAGGAAGGGGCGCTGGGCTCCTCTGGGGCTGTGAAATGCACAGAAGATGCTCTGCTGAGATTCGGGCCCAGGACCCGAGGCACCCCACCCTAGTCTGGAGGCTCCCCAAAGCTCAAGCTGGAGCATTCGCCAGAAGGCCTCTTATACGGCCGTGTGTTATTCTCATTTCCCAGTGGGTTTCTTCTCCTCTTCACAGGAGGACACAGAAAGAAGTGAAGTACTGAAAACGGCAACCGCCCAGAGATCCCAGCAACCCCAAAAATCTAGACACACAAAATTGGGGAGAGATGGCAGAACAGAGACTGTTCAAGGCTGCGACACTTACATATTTGCTTGACCTGCTTGGAGGTTGGACACCGAAACAGTCAAGACTGCCCCCAAATTGGGTTGCGGCTGCCACCTGCCGTAAGGAATGAAACCAGTCAACGTAGTTGCTAAGACGGACCACATAGTTTAACTTGTTTCTTTATTCTCAGACTTTAACACAGAATTGTCTCCTCGACCCCCCTACCTCCCTGATGGTCTCCTCTCTACGCGGAACATTGCTTGCTGTAAGAAGATGGGGAACAGGAGACACAAACATTATTTTCCAGAAAAGCAAAAACCTCACGGATACATTTTTAGGTGTAGAGCCTACGAGCTTGGAGAGAAATTGCCATGGACTGGCTGCAGACCTTAGTCCTGATGAGACCCACTGAAATCAATGGGGCTTAAGTTTAGAAAAAACATTTATATTACTTTCAGTGGGTCTATATGGATAATTGCATTCTGGTTGAATTAATCAATTACGTGACGTCAAGTCAATTCCTACGGATGATGACCCCATCTGGGGATGTTTAGGTGTATACTCAGAGGTCATTCCCCATTCCCTTCTTCTCAGACTCTGTGACTTGCCCAAGGCCACCCAGGCTGGCTCTCCTCTCCGGAGAGGCACCTGGGGGAACCGAACTCCAGACAGCTAAGCGCTGAACTAGCCCCGTAAAAATATTAAATGCGGTTTTATTTACAGCTCCACATCTCATTACGGATTTCAAAGGGCAAGGACCCTAAAATTCCAAACTTCCATCAAGAGTATACAAGGAGTATACAAAGCACTCACTTGTCGCCGGCTGAAGTTGAATCTGGACTGCCTTTGATTGTTTCGGAAAGGCCTGTTGCTATTGGAAGAAAAACCAAAAAAAATCTGTAAGAATGCCAAAAGGTTAGGTGCCTTTCCTAAATTTGAAAATTGGAACTGAGAAATGCTCAGTGCTGGTCATTTGAGTTTTCAATGCAGCAAACGTCTCAAAATTTGGAAGGGCAGGAAGTCCTGGAGCCTTGACATAACAATTGTCATATCCAATGACCGTGTTGGCTAGAGCTGTGGTCCCCAACCTTGGGCCTCCAGATGTTCTTGGACTTCAACTCCCAGAAATCCTGGCCAGCAGAGTTGGTGGTGAAGGCTTCTGGGAGTTGTAGTCTAAGAACATCTGGAGGCCCAAAGTTGGGGACCGTTCGAGACTGAAGGATGCCTAACTAAGTTGGCTAGAGCTGTGGTCCCCAACCATGGCCTCCAGATGTTCTTGGACTTCAACTCCCAGAAATCCTGGCCAGCAGAGTTGGTGGTGAAGGCTTCTGGGAGTTGTAGTCTAAGAACATCTGGAGGCCCAAAGTTGGGGACCGCTGGGCTAGAGGATTCAGGCATTTGCCCTCCCACAAAACAAAACAAAACAAAAAAACAACAACCTGTGTTCACTACAGTTCCCATCATTCTCTCCAGGCATGGCCAAAGGATGCGTCATTGCACAATAAAAGCTGAGGATGTGGTCCAGCGCATCTGGAAGTTATCAGCTTGTAGGAGGGCTGATATATAGATTTTTTTTTGGAGGGGGGGAGAAGAAATTTAACTCCCCCCTTCCCCACTTATCGATGGGCCAGGCTTTTTTTTTTTTTTTTGCCCTGTCTTACCTTTGGGCTGGTGGAGGTCCTCCTAGGTTTCTGAACTGCTTGAAGCGTGGGGATGGCCCCTGCGGAGTTTTAGCTGCTGCTCCATCCTCACCTCCGCTGCTAACCTTGGTGGCATCCTGCTGCGTGCCCTAGAAATAACCCACACCTTTCACACCTTCTGCTTTCCTCAAAGAGAGGCATGGTGTCTTACCTTTGGGCTGGTGGAGGTCCTCCTAGGTTTCTGAACTGCTTGAAGCGTGGGGATGGCCCCTGCGGAGTTTTAGCTGCTGCTCCATCCTCACCTCCGCTGCTAACCTTGGTGGCATCCTGCTGCGTGCCCTAGAAATAACCCACACCTTTCACATCTTCCCCACTCCTGAAAGAGAGGCATGGGGGAGGGTGCCCCATGCTGCCGTGGCCCTACCTGCTGTGCCGATGCAGGCCGGTTGAGCGGACTCCTGCCGCTTGGCCCGAGGGGCGCGCTCTGGCCCGGTCTGGTGCCCCCGTTCCAAAACCGCTTCTTGTAAAACGGCTGCTTCCCGAAGCCCCCTCGAAACCGGTTGGGTCCTAAGAAGTAACACATATTATTAAGGGGTGTCTCTGTGCATGGGAAACAGGCTGGTTATTTTCTGTGTTTTCATCCCACCTTCCCTTCAGAGAGTCCAAGGTTGCATGCAACCAGCTGGGGAGGTCGGCTAGGCTGAGAGAGTATGGCTGGCTAAAAGGTCAATCATGGATTTTCACAGCCAAATGAGGATTTGAACTCAGGTCTTTTGAGCTTTCAGTCAACACCCTAACCATTACACTGCGCTGTCGATTTTCACAGCCAAATGAGGATTTGAACCCAGGTCTTTTGAGCTTTCAGTCAACATCCTAACCATTACACTGCGCTGTCTCTTGGGTATCTGCTGTTCATGCTAATTAGATGTTTACTAACTCGTTGCATGGTTTAATTTGTTTTGAGTGAGGATTTTAAGGGGTGTTTTTTGGGGGGGTGAACCTCATGTTACTGATGTTCTTCTTCAGCCTGAACACTAAAAGCAGGAGGCACAGAAGAAAATCCCATTTCTGGCTGAGACACAACAGCTACCCGAGGGTGACCCAGTCAGCTTCATGACTGTGTGGAGATCTGAACGAGTCCATCGCCTTCTATACAATTCCCCTGTACTGTATTTCTCAGACACAAGGGGTTCAGAGCCACCTCCTGATCTGGTCTACGGTTTCAGGGTGATGCTTGTTCCCTGTATTGGGGGAATCCCAGTCAGTTCTGCGTATCATATCGGAATGCAAAGATCCTTTACTTGAGCGGCAATGGTTGCAGAAGAAAAAAAGAAAGCCAGCATTGATTCAAGGCTTCATTTCTCCCCTGCAGATCATCTTATCCCTCCCAAGCTGAAGCTTGACAAATTGTTCTGCTAATTCATGGGCAGGCCATTTGTTAAAGCAGGGGGATTTCTCTGTGTGTGTCGTCTATGAAAATTCTCTCCTCCAGCTTATGGAGACATTATTGTTTCTTTCAAAAGACATGTGCACAGTTGCACTCTCAGAATTGCTCCTGTCTTTATTGTTCCTGTTGTCTCCCTTTGCATTTATGCTCCCTCCCCATTCATTACAGGTTGGCATGTCAGTTGATAGCTATTCCTGGTGGAAGAACTCTGCCTTTGAAACACCCAGCTATAAACACCATTTTATCCTTTTCTCACGCAGTTTTCAGGAAGCTAATGTGGAACTGCTGAGCAGAGGAAACCAAGTTATTCTCCACCTCTTTCACAGATAACATTCTTCGGGGATTTGATTCTCTGTAGCCGGAAGCTATAGGACATATCTGAAACCATTGAACAAACAAACAATTGGATGTTTGTGAAAGTTGCCAAAACAGCTAGAAAAGCAGCAAATCCTAGGAATTTATAAAAGTGGGGAACTGAGGCATGTATTTGGAAGTCTCAAAGAGAGAGAGAGAGAAAGAGAGAATGGAGCAAATATGTGTTAGCTTAAGTCCTTTGGGCTTACTCTCAGCGCCCCTCTGGATCTGCCTTCTGACAGACATTTTATTATTGAGCCAAACAAGATTTACCCCTTTGTCAAGTGCATTTAAGGTCTCAGCCTGTGTCAGGAAGATAGGGGACCATGGAGTGTATCTTGGCCAAGGCTGTAACTCGCTTGCTGGGCCCTATGAGACACCCATTATTTGTGTGTGACTTTGTGCACAGACAACAGACAACTTCTTTATTTGCTTCCCTCCAGCAAAGATGTGGAGAGAGAGAGAGAGAGAAGTTTGCTAAGTTATCAAAACAAGAAGGAAGGGGAGCGTTGTATCAAAATCAGCCTATTTATACACAACTTAATGATTTTGCAACTGCCGCACCTGAATTCCTTCTCTACGTGCATAACCTGTTCAGGTGCTGAAGTGGCAGATCAGACCCTCCCATGAAAAGGGGTCTTCTCTCTGTGTTTGAACCCAAGCCGTGGGACTCGCTCCCAAGGGAGGCTCGTCTGCCCCCCTCCTTATCAGGCTGGCCTTTGGCAACTGACCTCACCTGCTGCAGAAGGGGCTTTTAACCAGGTAGCGGGCATGTTCTTCTGTTATTGGTGCACATGCGCTTTCATCGTGTTTTGTGTTTTTGATGCTTTCATTCACTGCGCATTTTAACTGCATCTGCATGCCTTCATTGTGAGCTGCCTGGAATTTTAATTTCTGTGTTTCCAGTTAAAAAGCCCCCCCAGGTATTTGCATGATGCTGAAAAGGGGGTTGGTGTCTCAGGACACCAAGCCAACTACCTCTCTCTGCTTCCTTTGCTGTTGCTGGATCCCTCCGGCTCTCGACTCCCTTTTGCCCTACTCTTGTCCCAAGCGTACCTGACAGGTTCCGTGGCCCCCAGCTCCGGAATCCAGGTCTTCCGTTGCCGAATGCCGGGATCCTGTTCTGGAAAGGCTGCCTCCATCTCCTCGCCTTCGGGTTGGTTTGCCCCTTCTTGTTATTCCTTATGATGTCATCTAAATGGATCACACTCATTTCAGCCGTAGGTCGCATTTTCCACCACGGCGCACAGATTCAAGCCGGTCCCATGTGAATAACACAAGCGGGGCCGTGACACAGAGCAGCGATTCAGTCACTGCAGTTCACCTGAATCGTATCAGACATTCAAGGGACTGGAAAACATACTGACAAGTCTGTTAACAATATCAAGCCGTGATAACATCAACACAGCAAGCAGTTCCTTTAGACATTTATATACAAAGAGCTGCGGCCGAGACATTTCAAACGAGCAACAAGAGGAGACAAGAGCCAACCCGAAAATCCCTGGGCCCTGCCTTTGAGACGGGAAGCCGAACAGCTGTCATGGGTGTCTTTCTGTGGAGGGTGGCGGAAGACGGGATCCCAACTATATTTATTATGTTAATATACATCGTTAAGCACACTGTGTTGCCAGGGCGAACATGATGCACACAGAGCACACCAATACGCTGGTTTGCAGGTTTGCACTGAAAAAAGCCCTGCGGACAGCAGTGAGGTAGCCGTCGGCAGCCTTATCTATTGAATCCCCCTTTCCAAGTTGCCTTTCTTGAGGCCCAGGACCATATCCAGTGGGAGAGAGTTCCACAGTTGAACTGCTGCAACAGGAGTGTCTTTTGACTGCCCCGAATTGTCCATTGCTTCCCTCCAGAGGAGGAGGATCCCACTGGGTTGTAGTCTCAGGATTGAGGGAGGAAGGCTTCTCTGCCTTCCCTTTGCTCCACCCTGCTCCTGAGCCCACTAAGTGGCCACAACCTCAGGGATTAAGGGTGTCAGAGGAAAACAGCCACGGGTGTGGGGCAAGACAGAGAGCACTGGAGAGATTTTTGCAGCATTGGCTCGGTCGGTGGGGAATTTACTGAGCCGAGTCAGCCAGCCGGCCCAGAGAGGACAGGGAGAGTGCTCTCTTTTAGAGTAATCCAGGGGGGGATTGTGTATTTCCAGCCTGCTGACTTGACCAAAGCGTGCCATGCCAGGGAAATGACTGGCCTTCCCCGTCAGCGCCATAAATAGCCTGGGCATGGGAGGCAGGGCCGGCTCTATTTTTGGCCCCCGGGCCTCTTTCGGAGGGTTTTGCTTAGTTGTGGGGCTCGAGGGGGCAGGAGACCGGGCTTGGGGTTAACTCCCCCCCTTGGTCTAGCTCAAGCCCCCCCCAAAAAACCCTCCACCTCTCTGCAGATCTCCCTCCTGCTGTTTTTGGGGGTGTGGGGGGTTATTTGGAGCGGGACAGACCAAAGCGCCCCCCCCCCCCGGGAGCCCTTTTCCAAGCTCCCTCTAAGGAGAAAGGGGCCCTGGCTGGATGAAGGGGGGGGGGCAGAAGTGACATCAGCTGTGAAGTGGAAGGGGCAGAAAGAGGAAGGCGGAGTGGCGTGGCCATGGGGGGGAAGCTGGGGGCCCCCAGAAAGGTCCGGTTTCGGACGCGGGAGGGGTGCTGGGCCAACCGGGGGGCCTCCTCCACACCCTCCGCGTGCGCCCCCCCCCGGGCC